TGAAAGAGTGATATTACAAATACCTGTTAAGTCACTAAGTGTTAACATTTTACTATATCTGCCTTCTCTTATTATATCTGCTTTCTCCCCCATGGGATGCACACATGTGCACACACACAGTTTTCTTTTGCTTTTCTAACCCATATAAGAGTAAGTTAAAGACATCAAGATACTTCACCCCAAGCACTTTGGTTAGTAATTCCCTAAGAACAAGGATATTCTCTTATATATCTTCAATACCATTATACACAAGAAAATTAACAGTAATTCCAAAATGTCATCTAATATATAGTCTAAATTTAACTTTCCCCAATTGTTGGGGAACCTGGGTGAAGCAGTCAGTAAAGCACCCAACTCTTGATTTCAGCTCAGGTCATGACCGCAGGGCTCACACTGAGCCCTGCATCCAGCTCCATGGTCAGTAAATTTTCCTACTGTCCTTCCTTCCACTGTGCACTCTCTTGCTCTCCCAAAATAAATAAATAACTCTTTTTTTGAGGCTACCCTTAAATTTTTAGGATGGTTCAACATCAGAAATAAATTTAGAGAGAAACCAGATAATAATCTCAATCAAAAAAGAATACGCACTGTAAGCTTAAGCAAAAGGCAAAACTGTAGCATTAACAAAAGATTACATGGGAAAATACCTATCTGAACTAAGAATAGGGAAAAACTTAAAAACCCACAAAGTATATGACTAATTTTTATCCCATTTAAACTAAGGGCTTTTGTTCGATAAAAGACACCGCAGACAATGATAATGTGAAAATGACTAACTGCCAGAATGTGAGAAGAGATTTATAATTCCAAAAATGGAAATGGGATTATTATAGAGAATAGATAAGAAATTCCTCCAAACCAACAAGAGAACAGTAACCCTGATAGAACAATGGGCAAATGCTATGAAAAGGCCATTTACAGAACTTAAACTAGAATACAAAAATGAGAAAGCTAGATTATTCTAGCTGTTGGCAAGAATGAGAAGATGTAAGAAGCCTCGGGCTTCCTAGTGGAAGCTGGACTGACGTCATCATTCTGGCTTGGGTCAAAGCCTCGGTCAATAAAAAACTGTTCCTCTGCCTTACTTTGTCCTTTGTGCATGTATTTCTTTGGGGGATTTCACAGGGAGAAATGGCCAGTCTAGCACAGGCTCTGGGCCTTAGACACCGTAGGTCCTGACCAAATGCCTCTACCTGAATCACACCTGATGTGACTGCATTGGCCACTCAGTCTAAAAGGACATGGAAATCAAAATTCTACTGCCCCTTACTCACAAAGGTCTGGACATGGCTTTACCTTTTCCTTTTTTGAGGGACCAAATTTATTTTTATTTTTCTGAAAATATCAGGAACTATAAAAAACAAGCCAGTAGCTGTAAAGCACCATGTTCTGTTGGAACCTGAATTCATTCGTTGGTAAGTTTTCAGGTTTCCCAACTTTACAGTCGTTGACATTTGAGCATGTTGTTTTATAAATGATGGGATTCTGGGGTGGGAAGTGAGTTGGCTTTACCTTTTTTTAAATGACATTTCAAAACATTTTCCGAAAACTGTGGTTGATAGGAAATTCCTATGTATTTAATGTTTAATATAATTTCTGAAGCAAACATAATTCTCTTCTTGTTGTACTAATCACCATTTAGGGAAGATTTGATTTCAGAATCTGGAAACAGAAGAAATTGAGCTCTAAGAAACAATGGTCAGGAGAAAGCGTTCTTGGGATTTAAGTAGCCTAGAAGTATCACAAGAGAAAAATCATATGGGTCTGCTTTTCTTAGCCAAAGGGAAATGCAGTCACTTTTCATCCAAGGGAAGAGCACATAAACATGGACACTGAGCAGGACCGTCACGGAAGGAGATAAACTTAAGTGAGAGAAAAAGTCTCATCCTCATCCTGGAGCTGACCTGGGCAGGCCTCAGAAGAAGCAGTTAGATTTCACACAGATTCTTCCTTCAGAGTAGAGCCGGAGGAGGCCAGGAGACAGAAGGGAGAAGTGAAGGGGTCCCGGACTCCATTGTCATCAGGGTCCTAGTGGAAGCTTGTCTCCAGACCCCAAAACTGAATAAGATCTCTGGCAGACCTAGCTAGGACAGAGAACAGGAAATGTACATCACAACCTCAGGAGGTCATGATCCCCAAGATTCAGAGGCCAAAAATGCTCCTAAAGTTCCTCATGATGAAAGAGGAGAGCCACATTCAGCACCATGTCACCATCATGATTTTTGTCCTCTGGCGTTTGTTAACCAGGCAACCAATAACCAAATTTTCCGATACCAAAAAAAAACTGATTTGGGCCATCCCCAATCTCTACCCAAATTTAGAGATGGCAGGTTTCTGTGTTGACAACACTACTGCCTGGACTATGGCAAAAGCTCGGCCTCAGGAACCTGCAGGGCTGGGCCTGCGAAAGGGACCTGGGTCTTGGGCCCACTCTCTCTCAGGGGCTGAGGATGGCGCAGATCCAGGCTGTCTTCCTAGAAGAAACTACTGGCTAGGCCTCAGGTGCCCAGAGAAACTTTTCTCTTAACGTAACAACAGGTACTGGTTGCAGACCCTGGGGTTACCTCACTTACCAGAGAAACATAGTTATGGGATAAAGAGGAATGTTTCCTGGGCAAAGAGGGATACATAATGCGTACACATGCAAAAAGTAAGGTTTGCTTTAGGTAAAACATGATATTGAAACAAAAATAAATAAAAACACTCATTGGAACACCAGTGTGAAATCCTACTGGAACACCACTAGGATTAATAACTATTTGCAAATACAACACAAAGCAAAGAACCTTTCTAGAAGTCTTAGGAAAAGTTTATGATGTTCTTAAGGTTATGGTTTGTTTCAATAACAAATTTCAAAACCTTAAATGGTGCAAAAAGTACCAACATCCTAACTGTAACCAGATTTTATATCATCCAGAGAAGAGAAGTGGGTTGAAATATCCTAAAAACACCATAATTTTTAAAAGAACAAATTGCCATTTTCCTAAATATCAAGAGGGCAAGAAATGAGAAACAGCCATGTGGTTTCACAAACTCTCTATTTAGAGGCTAGCAGGAAAGAGAAATTTGTACCGCAAACTGAGGAAAGGATGAAGGCTGTTGCCTCAGTCAGGCCTAGTAAGGAAGGAATATAAACAACAGTCAAATAGGAAGACCATAAAAAGAGTAAGAAAAAACCATGCATACAGTGGACATGCAAGGGACTCGATGATATTCACTTGTAAAAGAGAAGGAGGGGAATTACAACAGAGAACAAACCAAGAGCAGGTCTGGCATCAAAATTTCCCAAAGAGCAAAGAGCAAAGCAGATTATCAGTATCCACTCCAGTATCAATTCTGTCATCCCTCCCATCCATCAGTATTTCCTTGCCCTTGTATTGGTACCAACCACTAACAAGAAATCAGGGAATCTAATCCCTTCGGTTTGGGAGCCCAGGGAAACAGAGGTTCCTGAGGTCTGTTAAGTCCGAACACCAGAGCTAGGTTTCCATGAAGCAGTTTTGGGCCAAATACTAAGTAAGTTTTAAAGTGCTCCTTTGCCTGGTTTTGTTCTGTGAGATCTCCCTCCCTTTGTCCTGCACGATCTTGTTGCCAGAGGATCTGGCTACATAGGGTCCTGGTTCTTTCCCTCTCTTCTCACAGAGAAAACATCATTCACAATAGTGACACCATGATAATATAAACGCACTCTTAGAAGAGCGTCACATATCCCACTGCTTTTAAAGGAAGAAAGAGAAAACATGAGAGGAATGAAATTTCAAGGAATAACATCCAACTAATATTGGCTGAGCCTGGAACAGTGAAATCACTAGTTAAGCAGGCCACAAAACAAAAGGAACCTGAGTGCCTCAGGTCAGCATACCTGGAGGGCCACTGATGAAGCAGTAGTCTCTTCATTCAAAAAGAATTTCACAGTTGGAAATTCCTTCTGAATGAGGAGTACTTAGCACCAAAAAGTGACCCATGTTTTCAGAAGATGCTCACCACCCCAGGTCACTACCTCATCAGCAGTGAAGAAACAGAGGGATCCGTATGCAGTCACTTGCTGAAATCACCTCTAGCTTACTTCAGAATGTCAGTGAGGCATGCCCACCTGCCCCTATCACAGTGTGTCTACGGGACATCCTCTCTTACTCCTCTTCTGGCATTTCTTCTAGTCTTTCAAGGGGACAGTATCAGAAACTTCTTCCTGATTGAAAAAGCTCATAATCTAGCCAGCCTAGCTAGGTCAAGCGTTTCCATGTCAGAGTATAGATAAAACTCAATTTGGCTGGAAAATATACTCCCTGCACTTAAAACTTCTTAGCAATCTATACATTAAAATGTTCCAATTTTCACTGCTACTTTGGTTTTCCCATGCGTGGTCAGCTAGGGCCCTTGGTCGTAGCTCCTTGCCCATGTGTTTGCACCTGCTTTCTTCTGCATCCAGAGGACACATAGCTTAGATCTGATCAGAGACAGTAAGACTGGCCTTTTTTCAAGGTTTAAAATCGAAACACTTTGTAAAGATAATCTACTTGTCAAATTTAAGGTGATTCATTCCCGCAACCTATGATGGAAAATACTTTTAAAATGTACTGAATTAAAGCAAAATCCAGGGTAAAGTGAAGTGCTTTTTTGGATTTGAAAGATCAGTTTAATTCTGTTCCTGTCAGCTACAGGAGTGGACTGCGCTCATCACAGGAAATGTCAAGGTCAGCTATTAACACAACTCAAGATCTATTAGGGAAGGACAAAGAGCACCTGCTGGCCACAGGAGTCACCAGCAGCATCTCCCGCCCCTCCTGAGAGCCCGCAGCCAGAAAGGGTCAAAGATTCTCCCCCTCCCACCCCCACAGCCAGAAAGGGTCAAAGATCCCCCCTTCCTCTAACAGCTGCCACTCCTTAGAGGTTGGGAAGGTCCCAACCGCACTGTGTGATTAAGTCTGTAGCACAAAGAGAATCCCAATCCTTAAACCAATCAGGTTAGTAAAAATGTCAGACAGCAATCTAGCACTCACCTTTGTCATGAACACAAACTGAGGGTTTCTTGACACCATCAACCATAACATTCTGTGTGTTGCCATGTCCATCTTCTGAGTCGCTGTCTTCAAACTGAGCCTCTATAATGACATCAGGACTGTCATTATAGCCTTTCACGGGCTGCTGCAGGAGATGGCTTCCACAGAGCTCCTCAGGGAGATCTAATTCATAGGCACCTTCTGTTTCTTTGTCATTGCTCTCTGGTTTAATTACCTGAAGAAAATAGAAAAGTTCTGCTAAATCACTGGAGGGAAGAACGGGAAATAACAGATCTTTCTCTTCTCGTTTTTCTTTCCTAAGGAAAAAATGCACATTCAGAAGCTCACGGCAATGGTCACTCACCATGTAGTTTGAAAAATAATATTCATTTTCCAGCTGCACAGACAACCTTATGGAGATGACCAATCCAGCACTGCCAGAGTGGCCGTCAGCTCCTCAAGATGCCCAAGATGAATGCGATCTCTACTCCCCATTTTTCTGATGTACCTACCTGTTGTTTATCCACTCTCCCCCAGAGGCCCTGAATACCACAAGTACTAAGCTGCTTCATAAGCGTACATCACATGGGTGAGTGAGTATGTTCACAGGGGATAAAACTCAGCAGAGTATGTTACTGCACTCCATGTGAAACCACAGAGAATGATGAAATGGAAAAAACAAAATTAAATGTAAATAAGCGTTTTTAATGTTCTCATAAAAAAATAGAAGCCCTTAATTCTCCATTTTGAGGCTTGAAATTGGTATAGAAAGCACACAACTGATGGATATTTATATGAACACTAAGAATGAAGCATTATATAATATGACAAATATTTTCAATTAAAAAAAGAATAAAGCAAATATGAGAAGAGTCTAGATACTAACCCACTTAGTGAGTTTGTCACATAAGTCATATGTCTGTACTCTGATTTCTATGGCATTTGATTTCTATGGATTTCTCCAGCAGTTTCTCTATGGGTTTAATTTTGAGAGGTCTAACATTTTTCTGAGTTTAACCTTGAAGTTTCAAGATAGATGCCTGGCTTCAACAAGCCAGATTACCATTCGAATCAGACCACACAAAGATCCTTTAATAAAGGATCTTTATCTTATACAAGGCAGAAAAAAATTACTGAAAGAAATCTTTCCCAAGACATTTTCACACCACAGATTTCAATTAACATAACCATCCCCAGACAATATTATATTCGCCCAGAAAATCAAAGTAAAATATTACAAAGGCATTCTAAAGATTCTAAAAATATATTACCAAGTTTTTAAAAAAGTGACTTCATGAAAATGTGGAAACAGAAAAACTCGTAGACAGCAGTTAATTTTTCAGAGTAAAATTGTGCCTTTTAATAACATTTTTTGGAACCTTGATTCCCAATTTCTGAATATATATAATGAAATTTTCTTTCAACTCTTGCCATGTTTTGACTCTTGTCATATCCATTCATTCATCTGATCACTCTTTCATTATGAGAAGGTTGAAGGTTCCTTTTCTTTGAGAGTAAAAGAAAAAAAACTCAACTGGCTAGGCCAGAAATCTCCAAAAAGATTCCCTCAGGGAAGAGGGAAGCCACAGTTGGTCTTTAAATTATAATACAATCATAAAATCCAGCTCTCCTCTGTGCATTTCTGCCTTGTCACAAAAGTTGGTTTTCATGCCTGACCCAAAAGAGATCACTCAAAAATAGAGAATTCAATGACAAGTTAGGAAAGAAAAAGAATTTGACATCACTCAAATCAGCAAACCTAGTCAATGTCCTTAAATGTGCCTGGCAAATTCATCTGCCCCGACCATCCTTGAAGAACGAACACACACCTTGGGCATTGTCAGAACAGCCCAAAGCATGGGGCACCGGATGGCTCAGGCAGTTAAGCATCTGACTCTGGCTCAGGTCTTGATCTCAGGGTCCTGGGATCGAGGCCGGTATCAGGCATCTCACTCAGTGGAGAGTCTGCTGTCCCTTCCCTGCCTTGTCCTCTCTCTCAAATAAATACATAAAATCTTTGGGCGCTTGGGTGGCTCAGTGGGTAAAGCCTCTGCCTTTGGCTCAGGTCATGATCTCAGGGTCCTGGGATCGAGCCCCGCGTTGGGCTCTCTGCTCAGCGGGGAGCCTGCTTCCCCCTCTCTCTCTGCCTGCCTCTCTGCCTACTTGTGGTTTCTCACTCTGTGTGTCAAATAAATAAATAAAATCTTTAAAAAAAAAATATATATATATATAAAATATTTTTTAATATATTTTTTAAAATATATTTTTTTAAAAATAGCCCAAAGCACAAGCAGGAGGTATAAGTGCACCCTCTGTGTCTAAAGCATGGTGGCTATGACAGGATCACTTTTGTTTTTTCTATGTCACTCCCACGCACAACTTCTCGCAGAGAGAAGAGGTGGGACTGGGGCTGAAGGAGAATGCCTAGTGTGCTAGAGTTAGACTCACAGGTAACAAGCAGTCTTCCGGAAAGATGTTACACAAAGGGTCCATGCTTTCAGTTTCCATTATGTATTTACTTCTCCCATTAATAGTTTCACAAAGGATTTGGTTCCTATAGGCCATGGAGAAAATCGTACAAGGGGAAACCAGAATTCTGACATTGTCAAATTTGAATGCTCAACTACTCTACAGTAAAGAGTAGTCTTTCTCCATATGCATATATATATATGTGTGTGTAAGATATAACAAGAATTCTGTAATCACCATGATTCTGCTACTTAGTAAGAATTATGCTATGGGTCACAGATAAAAAGTTCAAATAAAAGTCAAAAGGAAGAGGAGAGCAGGAGACAGCAATAACCAGAGTACACCAAGCCTAACTGTATAGCACATTTTAAAACCAGCCCAGTTCTGGGATGCCTGGGTGGCTCAGTTGGTTAAGCAGCTGCCTTCAGCTCAGGTCATGATCCTAGTGTCCTGGGATGAAGTCCCACATTGGGCTCCTTGCACGGCAGGAAGCCTGCTTCTCCCTCTGCCTCTGCCTGCCATTCTGTCTGCCTGTGCTCGCTCTCTCTCTCCTTCTCTGACAAATAAATAAATAAAATCTTTAAAACCATCCCAGTTCTGAATTCATGATAATCTCCATGGTTTAGATTAATTATATTTAAGAATTAGTATTTTTCAAGGCGCCTGGTTGGCTCAGTGGGTTAAGCCTCTGCCTTTGGCTCAGGTCATGGTCTCAGTGTCCTGGGATCGAGCCCCACATCGGGCTCTCTGCTCAGCAGGGAGCCTGCTTCCCCCTCTCTCTCTGCCTGCCTCTCTGCCTACTTGTGATCTCTCTCTCTCTGTCAAATAAATAAAATCATTAAAAAAAAGAATTCTTATTTTTGGCACTAAATTCACCTTTGAGTTACAAAATTTAAAAATGTAATGAAGCAGGAGTTAACAAATAAATCAAGTCATTTAAAACTGTGTAATTCACATATAAATTGGAGTGCCTGGGTGGCTCTGTCGGTAAAGCATTGGACTCCTGATGTCAGCTCACATCATGGGATGAAACCCCACATCAGGCACCACGATTCTAAGATTCTATCTCTCCCTTTCCTTCTGCCCTTCCCTGCACCCTCTCTAAAAAATACATATATATATGCACATATGTACATATATATATACACATACACATATATATAAATACATTGCATTTTAAAAGTACATTCATTCTATTTTGTTACACCAGTACACACAAGAACAGAAATATATTCTGAGAAAAAAAGATCACCATAAGACCACAGGATACAAAAGTCATTTTACAACTACTCCATACCACATACTGGTTAAGAGTGAGGGTTGCAGAACCCTTAGAGAAATGGCTAATTCAAGTCTGGAGCAGGAAATAGATAAGACAAACCTGGAATATCGTGTCATACCAGGAAAACACGGAAGCTATCAAAGGCTTCTAAGGTCTTATTGAAAAAACTCAAGAATCGCCGTGAAAAATCAGCTCTCTCTGGTCAACCTTAGAAAATTCCAAGCATTTATCCTACCTTTCCTGTACCAACCATACCTCAGGTTAACCACAGAGTTGAGGAGGTAAAGATCTTCTTTACTGAAGAGTTTCAGCTAATTGAGAAAGAAGGAAAGACTTTCGGTATCACCAGTTTGCCATCCCTATGGAAATAATGGATTCAGGAAATGATCATTAATGGTTGCTAAAGCCAGCTAATTCATAACCTGATGGAGATGGAGTTTTATAATAAATGGATCAGAGTGGTAATACTTAAGAAGAGAAAGAAACATAGTGCTTCCTGATGGACGATAATAGTAAGTCCATAACACTATCCATGAAGTACTTTCCCCCAAACTGAACTTGAATCTGATCTGAAACTGGATTATAGGAGCATGTTAAATAACACCAGGGAGAGACCCATTTACACTCACTCACCAGGTGACTTCATCCCGTCTCAGGGCTTTAAATCTCTCTGTAGCCTATTAACTCTCAAAATTAAATGCCTAGCATCAACCATTCCCCTGAATGCCAGATTCCTATCCAACTGCCTACTTTACATCTTCCTTTGGATGTCAGTTGGCACCTCGAACAAGAGAACCCTTGCCCCCCCCAGAACGCACTCCTCTCCTAGTACCTGCTTTCTCAGCAGATGGCACCAAACTATGGCATCTTCTTCTCATGCCCCACATCCAATACATCAGAAGAGCCCACTGGCCCTTCCTTTAAATATTTTTTTCTTACCATTTGCACTAATACTGCACAACCAACCTCTATCTCCTTGCTGAGATAACCCATCTCCTGATTTCCATTTTGGACCAAAGCAGCTAGAGTGATCTTTTTTTTTTTTTTTTTTTTTTTTTTTAATTATTTTACCCATTCACTTGACAGAGACCACAGGTTGGCAGAGAGGCAGGCAGAGAGAGAGAGGAGGAAACAGGCTCCCTGCTGAGCAGAGAGCCCGACGCGGGGCTCGATCCCAGGACCCTGGGATCATGACCCGAACCGAAGACAGAGGCTTTAACCCACTGAGCCATCCAGGCGCCCCTAGAGTGATCTTTTAAACATAAATCAGATCATGTCATTCTCTCAGTGGCTTCCCAACATCATTCCATCACCACCCACAAGGCCTTGTCAAATCAGGCCCATATTATTGTTCCATTCTCATTTGCTATAACTTTTTCCTTTGCAAATTACCCTCCAATCTAGAAATCTTCTTGTTATTTCTAGAATACTAAAATCTTCCATCCTGGGGTTCTTGTGTTGCTATTCCCTCAATCTGGAAAACT